TAGGTGATCACCAAACATTTCTTCTTTTTGTACACATAGGTAAAATAAAATTTCCACTCTCCTCTGAAGGTAGGAGTGGCCATATGAGTGGGTTCTAGCCAATGGTAGGTGGGTAGAAGTGATGTATGTACACAACTTCCACATCTGGTACCAAAGACTTCTTCATGCATAATCTCTCTTTCACTTATATCCTTGAGGCCATATGTTGAAGACAGAAAACATTCATCAACATAGGTCCCTGAATGATTCTGTGGAGCAGAGTCTGTGCTACCAGCAGGCATAATATGTGACTGTACATTAATGAGAAATAAACTTTTATTATGATCAACTACTGAACATTTGTAGTTTTCTACAGCACCTAACACTACTCTAAATAATACCTTAATAATTAGGGAAAATAGATGAAGACCATATGTCAATAAATAATAATCTCATATATTTCTATCATATATTTTTCATGGGAATGAAAGTTGATGTAATCTCTTTGGAAACTATTTTGCATTATCTTAGAAAATTCAAAATTTACATACCCTATTACCCAACATTTCTCTATTCAGGATATACTCAAGAGAAGCTCTTGTATATGAACACCAGAAGAATGTTCTTGGGAACACAGTTGGTGTTAGCAAAAACCTGTCAACAATCCAACTATACACCAACTAGAACAGTCATGGTTTATATAGTCACACAGCAGAATATTATACAGTAGTCAGCATTAATGAACGTCAACAATATAAATGAATCATTTAACATGAAATGAAAAAACAAGTTCTAAAAGATTCCTTACATCACAATGCCTTTTTATAAGGTTAAAAAGAGTACATAAAAATTAGACAGAAATTAATTTTTAAAAAACTGAATGATGAACACAGGAATCAGAATGGTGGTTGCCTGTGTTGTTGGGAGACAGAAGGGTGGAATAGGAGAAGACCATAGAGGTAGATATAAACTGTTATAAAGATTCTAGCTTTCAGGGATGCCTGGATGGCTCAGTAGGTTAAGCGTCTGACTCCTGGTTTTGGTTCAGGTCATGATCTCAGGGTTGTGAGATTGAGCTCTGTGTAGGGCTCCCCCCAGATGTGGAGTCTACTGAAGATTCTTTCTCTCCCTCTGCCCCTTCCTCAACCCTGCTCACATGTGTTCTTTCAAAAAAAAAGAAAAAAGAAAAAACAAGATTCTAGTTTTCATGTTGCGCAGTTTCATGGGTATTATTACCTGTATGTAATATGTATGGTTATATATGGGTGTTTTATATATATATATATATATATATATATATATATATATATACACACACATACACACACACACACACACACACACACATAAGTATGTATGCATATGTGTATAAATATATATATATGACAAAACAAATGCATAAAAAAGACCCGTTGGCATGTGTCAATTATGGAAATGTCCTATGAATGAAGGATTTTGTTAGTCTAGTCTTTGTATGCGAAGTTGAGCAAGATTGTGGCTTGAGAGATACTCAAATACCTCTGCTACAACAGACTCACTGGGCACTAGTGAGGATACCTAAGGGAATCATGAGGACCCCCTGCAGGAGTTATAGTCTCTATGAGAGTCTACAGTAGGTAAGAGTGGAGGGTAAGACTTTTACTGCATTATTGCTCAGACTGTGCTAAGGGAGACTCAGGAAGTGCAGCAGGACTATTCAGAAGGCAAGGGTCACCAAAGGATATGGTTTCTGAGGGTGGGAGTTGGCAATAGCAGGGAAAATAGGCAAAGGTTACCTCTACCTGATGTTTTTAGTCATGAATCGGTCCTGATCTATCAACATCTGAGGATGGGGGTCAATGACTTTGGTCATGGGAACAGCAGCTCACACAGACAGGATGGGTAATGTGAATGTAAGCCAGAGCCATGGAAAGTATGGTCTTGACAGTCACAGAATTTTTGATGCACCTTTTCCTGACTTGGGCACAGTTTTATTCGGATATTATAAATGAGTGAACAGAAATTCTGAGAAATTAAGTGGCTTTCCTACATTCAGCTTTTAGGAAATTGAAGAGTACTTCTTTGATAAAAATCTCAGCTTCAAATCTTCCACAAAGTGCTTCCCCTATGTTTATTGCCATTGAAGTACATAGTGGGCATTTTATTTAATATACACATGAATTTTGTGAGAGGAGTATTACTGCCTCATTTTATAAAGAAAGAAAGAAAGGGACAGAAAGAGTAAGAAATCCATACAGATTCACATCGCATATTGGAAGCAAAGTCAAAAACTCTAATCAAGGGGTTTACTAAATTTCCATTGCTTTAAAAAAAACCCTCATACATACCACTGCTGTCCAATAAGGTCACATTTATCTACCCTCTTAAGGATCCAGCAACCCTTGTAGCCCCCAGTAATGAATTTAAAACCAAAGGGCCCATATTCCCTATATGTTCCCTACTCCCACCCCAGCCTGCTGGGCCTCTTCTAGAACTTTCACAGAAGTGTGTCTTCATCTTGGAGGAAATTTGGGCTACTAGGGGAATTACTAGATATCTACATTTCCTGACTATGGAAGTCTGAATTGTATTCTGTCATAAAACAGGAAGTGTGGCAACACACTTCTCCCTTCTCAAAACAGAAAGTTTGTGGTTTTCTTTCTGTTCTCTGGATTCTGGGGCTTCCTTTGTTGTAGAATTCTGTTTTCTTTATCTACCATAGACTCAGCCTCTCCCCCTAATACTCACCTCAACTGCAACATTTATTCTTTGCTAACACCACATCCACTCTACCCCAAACACATATTATTTCTGGTAACCTCCTTCAAGCAACTTCTTCTTCTTCTTTTTTTTTTTTTTTTGGTAATTTTATTTATTTATTTATTTATTTATTTATTTATTTATATTTCTTTTCAGCGTAACAGTATTCATTGTTTTTGTGCCACACTGAGTGCTCCATGCAATACGTGTCCTCCTTAATACCTGTCACCTGCCTCCCCCAACCTCCCACCCCCCGCCCCTTCAAAACCCTCAGATTGTTTTTCAGAGTCCATTCTCATGGTTCACCTCCCCTTCCAATTTCCCTCAACTCCCTTCTCCTCTCATCTCCCCGTGTCCTCCATGTTATTTGTTACGCTCCACAAATAAGTGAAACCATATGATAATTGACTTTCTCTGCTTGACTTATTTCACTCAGCATAATCTCTTCCAGTCCCGTCCATGTTGCTACAAAAGTTGGGTATTCATCCTTTCTGATGGAGGCATAATACTCCATAGTGTATATGGACCACATCTTCCTTATCCATTCATCCGTTGAAGGGCATCTTGGTTCTTTCCACAATTTGGCGACCGTGGCCATTGCTACTATAAACATTGGGGTACAGATGGCCCTCCTTTTCACTACATCTGTATCTTTGGGGTAAATACCCAGTAGTGCAATTGCAGGGTCATAGGGAAGCTCTATTTTTAATTACTTCAAGGAACTTCTAACACTTAAATGTATTTTCTCATTTTTTAAAAATTATAAGTGGCCATGATAATTGGACAAAAATTATGAGGCCCAGGAATATAAGAACAGAACTTAGTTTTGTAATAAACAATAAAACAATAATTTTCTTTGACATACATCTGATGATATACACTGTAATTGTGGTGTGTTGTTATGAGAAACAAATGATGAACAATTTACTTAGGTGACTATAATTTCCATTAGTTTAATACAGTCTTCCCTTATGGCTTAATTCTTATTACTCCAAACACACAGGTGTCTCTTTTTTCCTTTCCATTTACTGAGGAGGGTATGTGGCTGATGTTTTGTTGCAAGTGCAGAGAATAGTCAGGATGCCTCAAGACTTTCTTGTCTTTATCTTGCCTTTATTCCAGTATGGCTAAATGAACTCCATTTCCTCCTGCATATGAGTTCTATCGGTCCCTAGTGTTCCCTCTCCACTATATGCCTACTTCTTGCCTATACACTATGTTTCCTTGAATAGTCCCCCTGTTTTTTACTCCTTGCTCAACTGGACCAGTTCTAAGTTGGTGTGATGCCAATTAGTTTAAGGGTGTGACATCTTTGGGTCATGAGGCTGTACCTGATAGCAGGGTTTCTCTAAACGGCAGACACCGGAGACACTATGACCACCGGAGACCAGGAGACTATTATAGTTCTTAGAATACACTCAAAAAGCATGGTCAGGTAATAAAAATATACTAAAATGGAGATTCAAGTCAAGACCAGGAGAATTTAAGCCTGAGTGTCTCTTCAGGGCTTTGTTGAAAAACATTGATTAGTTTGGTTGGTCATCTTGGCTGTCTGGTTATTTTCAAAAGGATTCCCTGGGAAATTCCTGCCCTGGCCAGATCACTGTCCATTCCTGTGAACAATGCTTTCTTTGCTCCAAGGTTGGTTCCAGGAACCCTTTCTTAGGCCCGGCCTCAATTCAGACTGAGGAGGGCCTCTGCTATCCCACCTGGGGTTCAGGGGGAACATGGGTCTCTTGGTCCATGAGAATGAGGGTCTCTTGGGAACAGAGGTGAGGTCAGGAATCTGAGTTTCTTTCTCTTCCACCCTTTCTACTCTCTAAATAATGTCTTCACCTGCTCAGTCTGCAGTTTCTCCTTGGTCATAGGGGCATGTGTTCTGAGGATAAAACAGAGCCTGGCAACAGTCAGAACAGCCTGTTGATCAGTCAGAAATGCTCAGTTCTGTGGAAATAGACTTTGTCACTATATCAGCTAAGTTGTTTCCATAAAATGACCCCGTCTTCTCGAGATGGCTTTCACCCAGTCCCCCAAACCAGAAGATCATTTCCCTATATAGGCAGAGACCTCTCAGAGTAGATAGATGGAGAAAGGGATCACTGACTAGATGCCTGGTGCAGATCTAAAAAGAGTCAATGGTGTGACACCCACAGGAAGTGGAGTCTTGGGGATGTTGCAGGCCCAGAATGGGGAGTTTAGCTCTGTTGTGCCTTTGCAAGTATATTTATGGAGGGGCTGTGGAGCCCAAGCCCTGAGGATTTGTTGGGACCTCTTTGTCAGTGACCTGTGGAAGACAATTACACTAATTTGATATTCTACATTTCCCGAATCAATCCCAATTATATTCTTTTTGCTTTTTCCAAAAGTGTATTTGTCATTACTATCAGCGGCCACAGAGAACTGCACTCATTTGGCTGGCTTCTCACAGATCCAGCGGAAGTTGCTGTCACACGATGCAGCATTGTATGTCCTTGTTAGGCCTATAGTCACACAGTTGAAATTCTCATGCTGACTGCTAATGCTAAATGGGAGAGAAAGTGTGGTAAAGGTACATTGTTTCAGCCATGACTTTTGCTGATTCCAGTCTCCCCCACCCCCATCCCCAAATCCAGCTCCACACCCACCCTTTCCTGTGAGCTCTCCTGTGAGCTCTCCTGTGAGCATTTATGGACTCACGGTCTTGGATTAACTCACTCTTGTGGTTGGTTAGAAACATCTCATCTGTCTTCTCGTCTCAGAAATAGTGTTGTACATAAACAATGAATCTTGGAACACTACATCGAAACTAATGATGTATTGTATGGTGACTAACATAACGTAATAAAAAAAAAGAAATGATGTTTTAATACTGCATAGGCTAAGTTCACAGCAGGAGGACTGAGAGGCAGAGGAAAGAAGTTGTTCCTCCTTTCGTAGGCCCCGACTGGCTTTAGGAGAAAGTGTGTTGGCCTTCTCCCACCTCTTTTTCTGTCATTGAATCTTATTGGAAAGAGTTTGGTTTCATAAAAAGGTCATGAGTTTTGGAGTCAAGTGGATGTGTGATTAGATTGTGGTTCTACCGTTTCCCAGCTTGGTGATATTCAGTACATTTTTAAGCCTCCCAGCCTCAATTCAGCTGCTAAATGAGGATTAATAAAATCTTTTGTACAACATCTTTGTGAGCACTGTACGAAATGACGTGAGTAACTGCTTAGCAAGTGCCTGGCATTCAGTAGACTTTGAATGAATCTTAATTTCCTTCTTCCTGTGAGAAGCCCAGGTATAGGCTGGGGAACTGACTTGCTTTCTGTCTGACTTAACACCTTCATATGTACACCAGGAATGTCATGTTCACCACCAGTGTTTTACATAAAGAAGCCTCTTCTGGGGAGTTTATAAGAACTTAGTGATAAAGTATGGTCGGTGGGTTAAAAGACACTTCGGAGATATATCAAACAAATAGCATGTATATGGATTTGTTGAGATCTTGATTTGATCAAAATAACTCATATGAATACTCTTTTCTCTACTTAAAAATGTTTGATATCTTTCTTTATAAGCTTACAAAAAAATGTGTCTCTGGAAATAGATGAGTTGGAAGAAAGGAGAGGAATAAAACAAAAAACCAAGTCTCAACCTTTGTGCTATTCCAGGACAAACCCACTGAATCTCAGGTCAGGTTTCTTAAGGTGAACTAAGATCCTTAGAAAAATGTGAAATATTCACATACTTGCCATTAAATATGGAGTTGTCAATCCAATGCCATCTGTTCTTTGCTTGCTGGTTTAAGCCAATAAAATACTTCTCAGCACCCGTTTTGTCCTGGAGAAATTTCTAGAAGTTTAAAAAAGTAGTTCAACAAAAAGGTTTTTTTTTTTTTTTTTTTTTTTTTTTTTTTTTTTTTTTGCTGCTGTCTCCTTTTGACAGCAGGCCCTGATTATAGCTGATTCTGGGAACATGGAAGGCTGGTAAAGGACTCTGGGGCTGGCTATAGCTGGCACTCACCATAACCCCTAGAGTAGTTTTCAGTAGGCACAGAGCATCAGGATCACTGGGAGGTCTTGTTAAAACAGTTTACTGGGCTTCTGGTTCAGTAGGTCTGGTGTAGGCAACTAAGAATTTACATTCCCAACAAATCTCCAGGTGAGGCTGATGCTGCTTTTCAGGGATCACACTTTGAAAATGAAGAGGAAGGATACTATATGATCTAAAAGAGCGTGTTTTTGAATACTTCTTCTTTTTTTTAATTTGGAATGCCTCTCTGCATAGGCTTATTTCATTGCCAGAAATTTTACATTCCAAATGACGTTGGATCAAGTGAATCTCTTGAGTACATAGCAAGGGACTATAGTTAGGGAGATTTAAAAGTGTGCTGAAAAAAAAAGTGTGTTGAGAAAAAAATCAGTGTTTTTTTTTTTTAAGTATTTGCTAAATTGATACCAATCCATGATATATTAGTTTCTTTATTAAGCTAATGAATCACAAATCACCCGTTAGAAGTTGGGGAGTCCCTGGGCTCTTTGCTGTACTCTTCACATACCTCCTGTAATCAGTGGATATCCAAGTTCACTTGGATATTCCCTCCATCCCCAGGGCTGTTAACTTTATTCCTCCTTTTCCTATATTCTCCTTCCCTGAAATATCTCATTTCATTATTCTTTAAAATTAGTTACCATACTTCCTCATTTAACAAAGATTTCTTGAGTGTCCAGTGAGCCATTGTACAAGGCTGAGGAATATGGAAACAAATTGGTTTCTCCCTAAAGAAATTGTGATCTAAGACAAGGGTTGGCAAAATACAACCAGCAGTTTAGCCCGCTTTTGTAAATAAGGGGAGAAGAGAAGAGGTGAAGTCTCGGAAAACCATCAGCATTTAATGTTGGATAACATGACTGCTTGCCAATACTTGAAACACAAAAAGAGGAACCAGGTGAGGCAAAATATAATTTGACTCAGTTTTGGACATGGTGCATTTGTGGTATGTTTAAAACATCAGTGTGGATTTTGATATACTGTTTGGTCCAGAGACAACTAGCTGGGGATACAGACTTGAGATCACTAGCAAATCTTTGGCGTGATGAGCTTTTTCTGGGGAATGCCAAGGATGACAATTGAGTTGCACCAGAATTTGAGGGCTGAGTAGAGGAAGAGGATGTAAACTTCCTCTCTCAACCCCTATTCTTCTCTTCTCTTTTTCTCTCCTGCCCCCACCCCCACCCTATACTACTCCTGGCTTTCTTCCATAAGACATTTTCCCTTTCCACCTGTACACTTAGCTTCAGAGCTAGCATCCTGACCCCTGCTCTTTGTTGGACACCTGCTACCAAGATTCAGAGAGGGCCCTCTTATGAATTCTCCTCAACCACAGGAGGACTTTATAGAGGAAGGGTGAAAGGTGAAGGGCAGAGAAGCAGGCATATAATATCTCTCACATGCCTAGAACCCAGCAGGTTCTTAGGATTTGAAGGAGAGGCAACTATAAACTAAAATAACTTATGATCTAAAATTGATATAGAGTGTGGGTTTTAGAGTTAGCGAGATCTCAATCTAATCCTGTCCTGTCACTTAGGAGGTGTATGACCTAGGTCAAATTATTTTTCTGTGCCTTAGCCTCCTTATATTTGAGATATGGATAATGATAATACCTCCTTGGAATTGTTAGGAGGATAAAGAGAGATAGTAAAATAAAGCTTTTTGCATTGTGTTAGCCATCTTTATTGTCATAATTATATACTGCAACCCAATTCTATGACCTGATCCTTTGTTTTTCATATGGCTAATTTTGTTAAGTTGCATCTTCTTTATTTTTGAGGCCTACTTGGGTGATACATTAAGAGTTCACATATATGAAGTATTCTATAGTTTTTAAACAACTTTTAAACACATTTGGTCATTCCCTGCATTTTAAATATCCTGGCCCATCCCCAGGATACTAGTGCACTGCTAAGCCTCATGGGAGAGATCATAGAGTGTGGATTTCTGTAGCTCAAATGATCCGAGGAGAACACCCCACTGCTACTGAGAAGTCTCTCACCACCAGATTCAGAGCAAGGGGCTTGGGGTCTCAGCCAGCCACCTCTCCATTCCTCTCCTCCACCCAGCCCATGTTGCACCAACCAAATTGCCCCACCATCTCCACTTCCCGATGTGGCTGTAGGGTGAGCCACTTTACTGTACCATCCTAATATTCTCACCAATTTCTCTGGTGTGTCAACAATGGCCAAAGTGGATCCTTCTGTCTTGCAAAAGTCCCTGCTTTTGTTCCAGGACAGTTCAAAAGGGGACAACAAAAAGCATCTTCTTTGATAAAAATACCACCTTCTGGGGCAGACTAAAGAAATCCAAGAAAAGAGTATAGGATTAGTGGTTTGGAGTGTGAACCCTGGAACTGAGTCAGAACATAGTGGTGCATAAGTTTCTTTATAGCAGTTATATCATTGCAAATCATCCTTAATCCCAGAAGAAATCTCGTGCAGTCTAGTCTGAATTTCCCTGTGGACAACATGAAGAAGGTGAATTAGAAGCTCTTTATGGCTCCTTTGAGCAAGAAATTTCCATAAGCAAGGAGGCAATGGGAAAAGTGTCTAAGAAATCATCACATAGGAAGCTGAGATAGAGGAGAGATTATTGTGATGCACTGTACCTGTTCTGGGGCTCTCCGTGGGAACTAAGGTGACATTGCTGTTCCCGATAGTCTGTGGAACTGAAATAAAAAGAAAACCTGAAGGTAACTGTGTTATGAGTACAACACAAACATCAGAGCAGCTGTTTGGTCCTGACAACTCTTTGTGTCTAGACAGTGGCGATGATGAGGCACTCTTGGCCACCACTGGCTAGAAGTTTTCATTTTCTTTCTTTGAACTTTCCATCTAACTACTGCCTTCCTTAGTCATGCCCACACCCCACGTTGTACTTCATATCATTTTTGAAGGGGGAGTCGGAGTGAAATGTTGAGAAATAGAAGAGGAGAAAGGAAGAGGAACGGGTGAATTTAGTACCAGAAAGGAAATCTCTCATTCCTTTCCATATATGCTTCTGATGGTGTTGCCCCCTCCCCTCCCACCCGGGTGCTGTTTGGAGCACTTCCCTTCCCAGCTGCGCACAGCATCTGTGCTGTTCTCCCCATCTCTGGTGCCCCTAGCCCCACTCTTCTCCCATGGGTGGCTCTTCGCCCCCTCTCATCAGCACCTGCAGGCTCTAAGAATTGAGGCTAATGGGAAATAGTTTCAGGACCAGGGATATTGGCAGATGTGGAGTCAGGTGAACATTCCAGCGATTTCCTGTAGGTAGAGAAGAGTCCATTTATTTCTTTAAGTATAAATAGGGGAATTGATAGGCCTCTAAGAAGCCTCATTTCTTCCTGGGAACACTGGCTCGCCACGCAGACAGTGTAGTGTCTTTGGAGGCTGGTCAAACCTCTCTGCATCTGCCCGGTTACTTGTCCCGTGTGGCTCAAGACCTCTGTTGTTTACCCAGACACCACATCGGCTACTTCCAATGATATGAATGAATTATATCAGTTAGTATTCAGTTTTTATTTCAGTTCCCAGTTCAAAGGCTCTTTGTATTATAAAATAACCTGGTTTTCAGGAGAAACTGTTTGGGGATTATAACTTCACGGAACTCCATAAATAGTTGATGAGTGTTGCTTCCATACAGCTCACTGTACTAAAAACCTCAGTTGATACAAATATGAACAAACAATTAACTTTCTCCTCAAGATGTGTGTAGTAATAGATGTTTTAAGAGGAAGTGAGAGGGAGGTCCTTGAAAAAGCTTTAAGCGTGGAAGGGTTTGATCGGGACTGCCATGTCTCATTCATCTCTATGCCCCTTAGCTTCTGGCATGGGGCCTTTTGCTTTATCAAGGAGAGCTGGCCAATAGCTCCTATTCTTCTTCTTATTTTTTTAAAAAATTTTTTTATTATTTTATTATTTATTATTTTATTATTTATTATTATTTATTTGACAGAGAGAGAGATCACAAGCAGGCAGAGAGGGGGAAACAGGCTCCCCGCTGAGCAGAAAGCCCGATGTGGGGCTCCATCCCAGGACCCTGAGATCATGACCCGAGTCGAAGGCAGAGGCTCAACCCACTGAGCCACCCAGGTGCCCCGCTTCTTCTTCTTCTGTTGTTGGTCTAGCAGAGTGATTGGCACACAACAAGTACAGATGTAGGTTTTGATTTTTTTTTTTTTTGTATAACAATTCCTTTAGGTGTACAACATGTCAGAGTTTATAAAGTCCTTTCCCACAACATTACAGTGATTATATACAAATTATCCTCATACTCAGGAGGAAAACTGAGGATCACAAATTTCGATCAGCTTATAGTCTTGGTTTCCCATCTATAAAAACAGGGGAATGAATTAGAATATCTTTTTGTTGGGGCATCTGGGTGGCTCAGTTGGTTAAGTGTCTGCCTCTGGCTCAGGTTAGGATCCCAGGGTCCTAGGACTAAACCCTGTGGTGGGTTCCCTGCTCAGCAGGGAGTCTGCTTCTTCCTCTCTCTCTCTCCCCCTTGGCCCCTCCCCCTTGCTCATATTCTCTTGTTCACTCTCTCTCTCTCTCAAAATAAATTTAAAAAAAGATCTTTTTTTTCTGGGTGTGTTGCATTTATTTTTCCCACTTTATTGAGATACAATTGACCTTAATCATTGTGTAAATTTAAGGCATACAAGGTGATGATTTGATTCATGTATATGTTGCAAAATTATTTACCACAGTAAGGTTAGTTAACACCTCCAACATCTCACATAATTACCTTTTTTTTTTTTTTTTTGTGAGAGGGAACATTTAAGATCTACTCTCTTAGCAACTTTCAAGTAGTGTATAATACAGTAGTTTTTTTTTAAGATTTTATTTATTTGAGAGAGAGATAGAGCACAACCAGTGGGAAGAAGGAGAAGCAGACTCCCTGCTGAGCAGGAAGCTGATGTGGGCTCCCCGAGCCAAAGGCAGACACCCAACTGACTGAGCCATCTAGGCACCCCTAACATGGTATTGTTAACTATAGTCACCACGCTGTGCATTAAACCCCCAGAACTTATTCCTCCTATAGCAATTAGCATATCTTTGTGGACCCTCCCTGGAAAGAATTTCTTAGGAGAGGAGGCCTTGAGAAAGGACTATAAGAAGTCAACACACAAAAACCTGGAGGCTGGGAGGAAATCACTGTCGTGTACAGTACCTGTTCCATAGCTCTCTGTGGGAAGGAAGTTGACTTGATTTCCGCCAAAAATCTGTGGGACTACAAAGAAAATCAGCTGTTGGCGCAGCCCCACAGGGAGCGGCAGCATGACTATGACAAACCAACATCACCTGGGGCTGCTGGGGCATCTTGATTATTACTGTGAGATCTGGAGTTCTCTGACTCAGGTCAATGAGGATGTGTAGGTGTGTTTTTGTGAATGTGTTTACTTATTCGTATGAATTGCACCTTCAGTTTGGCTCAAAGGGAAGACAACTCTTACCCAATTGCTGTCTTTTACTCACGTCTCCTTCCTCATTTACATTCCCTACTGGTTTCTGGGGCTGGAGTAGATTCTCACAGTGACAGTGAAACCCTTTGATACAAGGCTTCTTCTAAGCAGCTGGATGAAATCTTCTGTGAACATAGAGGGAAATTTCACCCCCAGTAAAATCCCATTATCTCATTATGCAGCTCTTATCTCAGCCTCATCACTGGGTTGAACCGGCGCCGATTTTCAAGTTTGAGGAACAAGGACAAGCGCTAATAAGTATTTCACCTCAGACTGTCCAACTAACACTATAGTGGGAAAAGATTTGTGTGGCCTTCTAACTGTCAGACACTAGTCAGTTCTGTATCTACAAGGAAGACCGAGGGTCCTGGCTCATTGTGTGTGCTGGGGAGCGAGACGAGCATTGTCAGTTGCCCCTACACTGGTCATTGCCCTCAGGTGGGAAGACTTAGGTGTGCAGCCTTTATATTCAACTTTGTGTTCTGATAGGAAAGTCAAAGAAAAAGACAGTATGAGGTTGGAGTAGGAGGTTGCTCAGATACTCACAATAAAGCAGAAATAAGGTCATTCCAACAATTTTAAGCACCACTATGAAAAGAACAGAGATTATCATGTGCCAGTTCATGTTGAAGGCAATGAGGAGACCTGTGGGAATTAGAGCACAGTATCACTTTTAACATCTGGGAGCACGGCTTCTTTCCAGCAGGACACATGCTTCTTTCTCAGAGCAACCTTGGGGGGCTTGAAAGGCAGGTATGCCAATGACAGCTAGATACAAGAATAAGATACAGCCCATGCCCAGAAAATGCATAGAATCTTGTAGTGATTGGGAGCCTTGGAAGTTGGCATGGTGCCTCTCCTTCACTCATACCTTAGCTCTAGACTTTAGCCCTGTATATCAGTTGCCTCCTAAACTCCATCTAATGAAATAAATCTCCTAGACTTTGAGTACTCTTAGCTCTGGAACCTTCTCTGTGGTCTTGGCCATACTGATTTCAACTGTCAGAAGTCTCACTCTCAAAAGACTATGCCAGGACTCTGACAGACAAGACAGTGTCCCCAAAGCTCTTGGCATTGGGGAAGGACCAATAATCTGTACAGAGAGGGCAGACAGACAGACTCACCTGCTCTCTCTGGGGAAGGCTGGCCTGCTTTGCAGGTGGGGATCTTCCTTGTGGCCTTATGCTTGGTGTGGTGGGCAGAGGCACCTTCAGAGAATATGCTTCTTCTGCTCAAGCACCCTGATTCCTTCTTTACATGGTCTTTCTATCTTCACAGCATCCCTGAGCAAACACTTCTTCCTGTTCAGTGTTCTTGGCAATGGGAGTGGGTGGGGCAAGGAAGGGAAGGGAATTTATAGCTTTTGCAAGAGGAAGCTTCCTGACGGAGGGTTTCTAATACAGTGGGACCTTTTTTTTTTTTTTTAAAGATTTATTTATTTATTTTAGAGAGTGAAAGAGAGAGAGGGAGAGAGAGAGAGAGAGAGAGAGAGAGAGAGAGTGTGTGTGTGTGTGTGTAAGCAGAGGAAGAGAGAGAATCTTCAAGCAGACTCTCTGCTAAGCATGGAGCCCACTACGGGCTCCATTCCAGGACCCTGAGATCATGACCTGAACCAAAATCGAGGATTCAATGCTTAACCACTAACCTACCCAGGTACCCCTGCAGGGGAACCTTTTTAGGAGAATTTGGAAATCCACCTTGACATAGACTGACCCTTTCTAAGTGTCTAAATCTCCATGAAATACAGTGGGAAGGAAAGGTAGTAAAATGTTAACAAATAGAGAATTTGGGTGAAAGGTATCTGGAAATTATTTGTACTTCCTTTGCAACATTTCTGCATATCTGAAATTATGTCAAAATAGAAATTTTAACAAAAGAAATCCACCTGAAGTCACTAGTGTTAGTGAGCAGGTCCTCCTGTATCCCATCTGCTCCATTCACTGTCATACAGCTCTGCACAGTACCCTTTGTCATGGACTCCTCCTCTCTGGCTCCAACAGCTTACTTTCCAGACCATGTGCCATGTGAGACTAGGGACCATTCAGTATTTCTTGAGCATGGCCTCTGCTCAATACAGGAAGTGTAGTGAGGGTGAATAATACTGAAGTCTTATTATCAAGGAATTTGTACTACATATTTAATTTGAAGTTTTCCTCTTATTATATTTCCCCTAATATAAAAGCTACGTGTGCTCATTACAAAAAATGGCTAGAAAATATTTGCAGGGAAAATTGGAAAAACAAAAAAAGTCCATATAAGTTCACATATTTAGCTATAGTCACAGTTAACATCTCTGGGTGTATATCCTTTTTAGAGGGCTAGGTAGTAAAAGGTTAGATGATAGATAGGTGATAGCTAGATCGATGATAGATACTGGTTCATTTAGAAAAATGGGATCATATTGTATATATTGTTTTGTAATATATACACTATAGATTAAGCTAACGCTATATAAATATCCTTCCATGTTAGAATATAGATTTTGCATTTACAAATGGTCAAGATGGAAAATTTTATGTATATTTTACCACAATAAAAAAAATTAAAAAAAGAGAGAAAAACTGAGATTTAACTTTGGTAATCTTCACATGATATTAAGATGAAAATACAGTCTTTAGCAAGTGTATTTTGCAATATAACAATTATCTTACTAAGACAATGGAATCTTCTCTAAATTGTAATTAGCAAAGGGTTTAGGGAGATAGAAAAGCATGCCCATACCTGTTCTTGGAAGAAATTTGAAGGGGACACAATATATAGCTAAACAAGACTCCTGGGTATACTGTGGATTTGTTTTGGGAGAAAACAGCAGGCGTGTGTGTGTGTGTGTGTGTGTGTGTGTGTGTGTGTGTGAGAGAGAGAGAGAGAGAGAGAGAGAGAGAAAGAGAGACTGATAGAGAATTGAAATGGATAGTCATTAAGAACTCTTCCAAGGAAGAGCAATAATAGGGGCCATGGAGTTTCCCTTCCCTCAGCTTCCAGGATCAACTATTAAAGCTGGCAAACTATGGCACCAAAGAGATGGGCTGCCTGTTTGCAGAATCTATACCCTGTGGTGACAATGGCAGCAAAAAATACACACAGTAGGAACTGTGTGACTGTTGTCTTTGGATTGATAAGCAACCATGGGTATCATTGGGGGTGGGTATCTGGGAAGGAAATCTAGAAGAAAGGGCTCCTATGATTCATTGCTTGGTGTTTTGCAGTCAAATGCTCTACCCCTGAGCTATACCCCATTGCTTGGTGTTTAGGAGTGGTATCAGTCTACCAAAATGACTATACTTATTACTTCACACAGAGAAAAATACTATCTCTTGAGCATTATTATTAGGCACATGTACATTTAAATGTATATATATAGTGTATATAGGAAGTACTATATAGTATATAGGAAGTACTTCCTTCACTATATATTGCAGGAATTCTTTCAAGTAGCCTAATGAGAAAACTTGGCAATTGAAAGAAACCTGATGTTTCCTCTTATATTTACAGTCACAATTCTTGAAAGGATTGTCAGTTTTACTGCCTCCTCTCCCTCCCCTCCCACTTTCTCCTCAGCTCTCTCTGATGGGAATCCCACCATGACTACATCATGAGATAATGACTCCAACTCAGTAATTAAATGCGTACGGTTTAGTCTTCATATTTACTGATCTTGAACAAGGGCCCACATCATTTTATGTTGTATACTTTTTCTTGGCCTCCATAAGTCTACGTTCTGCTGGTTTCTCATCTTTCTTTCTAGCCTCTCCTTTTGCTTTCTTCTCCTCTGCCTATTCCTCAGATTGTATACTTATCCCTCTTCTCTTCTGAGTCTCGTGGTTTCAAGAACCATGCTCAAGAAGATGACTCTTAAATCTTTACTCTGAGTTTCAGATCTGTATATTTTCTGACTGTTTCACTTTTCACTGAGATGCTCTACAGACAACCTGGAGTCAACATGTTCCTAAATGTATTAATTACTACCCTCTGCTAAAACATGTTCATCCTCTTATGCTCTCTCTTTCAGAATGTGAAGACCACCTCTTCAGTTGCCCAAATCATAAAATGTGGGTCTTTTCCTTCCCTTTCCTTCCCTTCTCTCTTTCCTTCCTTTCCCTTCTCCCTTCCCTTCCCCTTTTCCTTCTCCCTTCCCTTTCCTCCCCTTCCACTTTCCCTCCCCTTCCCTCCCCTAGTCTCCTCTCTATTCCTTTCCTCTCATCTCCTTTCCTCTTGTCTTTTCTTCCAGTCAGATGTCATGCCATGATGATTCTATCTCCTCAAGTCTGTCCAATCTGGGTTCTTTTCTCCTTTCTCATATCTACCTCTTGCTCTCTCACTGGCTCTCTCCTCCATCTTCTCAACAGTTTCCAAAGAAACTTCTTGCTATAATCTTGCTTCACTCTGTAGTCAGAATGATCTTTCTAAAATGCAGACTTGATTGTTTCATTCCTGTGATGAAATATTTGAGTAACTTTCCATTGCTATTACAATAAGGTTTGGGTTCCTCAGTGTGGTCTATGAGTCTTTACATGTTCATTCTTTCAGCAAATGTTGCTGAGTGCTTGCCATGTGCCGGATACTCTTCTAGGCACTTGGGATATACGTTCTGGTTTTTCTGTACATCTCAGGATACCACACCTACCCATGTTCTGCTAGGAACATTAAACTTTTAGCTCTTTATACAGTCTTTTTGATCCAAGTCCTGACATATACTTATTGAGCACATGATATGTACAAAGCAGTAATCTACCTCCTTTCTCCCAGGCATGTATATATATCCCTATATACTCTCTTTAACTATATAATTTTGACTCATTATTTGAGTCTCAGGTTAAATGTCACTTCTTTCAGGAAAATTTTCCTGATTCTCATTCTTTACTCCAATTGGGATTAGGCACCCTTTATCTGTGGACTCATGATATCATGTGCTTTTTCTCAGTGGGCTAAGGGAAATGTGTGATAATGTACTTGTTTTCTTCCCCTGCTAGATGCTATGTCATCATGAAGGCCCATCTACTGTGTTTGCAACACTGCACAATGGCATTAGGCTTCTAGGCTTGTCGGATTTTTATAATTTACTCATGAGAGTGTGGTAAGGCCTTCAAAATACTTCCAATAAATTAAAAATTTGTGTGTTATTCTTTGTGTGAATTAAGTAGTTTTCAGTAAGGATAATTTAAGACGTAGACCATCTCTAAAGGTGTTGATTTCCTGATTAGGAATATCTTCATATCTTTCTTAAATAACCACCCTGAAGTATGGATTGTGACTACAGTATTTCAGATGATAACTAACCACCTCCTAGTTTATATAGAGTTAATTTATGTTCATATATATGACACTAATACTGTGTCATGTTAAAGTAAACTGCCACTCAGGCAAGGTGACAACCCAGAATTCATAGAATGTGCAGAATAAGCCTGCTTTGGGAGCAACTAGAAGAACCCTCCATTAGAACTGTATGATGTATATCCTAACCTGAAAAGTCAGGAGATGAGGTGAGGCATGGTTGTGGAGCCTGGAGAGGGGAAGATTTAGAGTGTCAGGTTCTGGATTTAGGGTGTCAGGTTCTGGAGCCTACCAGAAGCAGCATGGAAACACACAGTTGGCTTCCACTTCATGCAGTGACTCACTGAATAAATGAGAAGTCATGCTGCGGGGGACAGTCATTCACTTAGGTAATGAGGACATTACTGTATTTGTAGCAGCTGCTGCAGCATCAGGGCAAAAAAACCCCACTATGGTCAGTAGTCAGACTTCCTGCTCAGGTTGTCTCTGGTTGGCCAAAACAGAACCAGAGGATGGAAAAACTCTCCCCATGTTCTTTCACCATATCCCAGAAGATTTGACACTTTTAAAATCTAAGTGGTCCCTTGTGACCTTGAATGTGGGGGAGACTCCCTAATCTCCCACTTCCAGGTTTAACACAGAGGAAAAGAGATCAGTGGATATGTGAGAATGCAATCACTCAAAATAAGGTGAACATTGTGAAGAAAGCAGGCCATGTTTGTGACGTAAAGTCATTATCAGACACAGGAGATGCTAGAAAAAAAATCTCTTTTATTTTCACTGAGATTTTAGAGAACACTGACTGACTCTATAAGAAGAATGTGTCCTCATATCATGAAATGGACAAACAAATGCTTTGAGATGTAGCTGCTGATGTTTGAGACAGTTAGTGACATGAAGGGCTCTGAATAGCAGATAAGATACCGCAGAAAAAGAATGAGAATATTTGAAGATATCACTAAAATG